AACCAAAAGCAGATGAACTGTAGTCTTCTGAAAGGATAGGGGGGCGGAGTACAGCTCTCAGAGACAACCCCCACCCAGGGGTCAAAGCATTCAAATGTCCTGATTAGTGATATTTTTAAAGGCCCTAATTATAGACTTAAGACAGAGGCCTTAGTGGGGCTTTAGGGAGTTTGTGAGACTTAATCTAGGAGCTGAAACAGGCTGTGTTTTTTATTTTTTTATTTCTGCATCAATAAAAATACAGTTGACAGTCACCAGCGTCCACAGCTCACATAAATCTTGGACTTTTGACTTAATTACCATGGGAGAGTTCAAAGGGCAGCCTGGAGTGGTTGAAAGAGCACTGCTCAGGGAGCTAGAGACTTGGTCTAGCCTCAGCTCGGCCTCTGGCCGTGTGACCTTGATCAAATCACTTAACCTTTCTGGATGACATTGATCACATTAGCCATTGGGCCAGATGGTCACCAAGGTCACTTTTGGCACAGTGGTAATATGATTCCATGTTTTCCTTTAAACTGCTAGGCTAGATTCTCTCTTTTTGGTTTTAGAGAGAGAGGAGACCATAAACCTTAGACGTCAGTCAGCATTGGGATACGGAAGGGATTATGTTGGGGGCGGGCTCAGCAGCCCATGTTTTCTCATTGAGTTTAAATTGCAAGGTCAATATAAATCTTCTAATCCTACCATTTGTTGACAGAATCAATATCTGCCTAGAATATAGATACCTGGAAAGAATGTTAGAACTGGGAGAGACCTTATCAGAACATTCAGTTCAACTCCCTCGTTTTATAGCTCAAGCTTTTAATAGCTGTCCATCTGGTCCGTCTGTCCGTCCGTCCGTCCATCCATCCATCCATCCATCCATCCATCCATCCATCCATCCAATAAACGCTTGAGTACCTATTCCTTAGGCTGAAGACGACTCAAACTATACCCTCCAGATGCTCCACTCTCGTTGGCCAGCAGAAATTAAAAGGAATATTTCTCAGTTATGGGAACCCACGTAAATAACAGAGGTGGCCCAGAGAAGGGATGGTTAATCTTCACCGTGGAATGGATTGGTTAAGAAAGGCTGTGTTGAGGGAAGTGTCTGTAGGGTTATAAATTTCTGTTTAGCCAGCTACATCTTAAGAGACTTTGTATTAAAGTAAAATTCTGCTTATTTAACATTATTACTAATATACAGTAACTGTTTCAGTATAGTAAATGGTAATGAGTAGGGTATCCTGTACCTCGATGATGGGATTTTACAATTTATTTCGGCAGGTCTTCCTGTTCCTTTAATCTGCTCACTTATTAGTATTTAATGACTAAGAGAGCATCTTCTACATATTACATCAGAAGATCCGAGAATGTCAGAGCAGAGGGGGCCATACTTATCATCTAGGTCCACGTGTTTGCTCCCGATTTAGCATAATTCATGTTTTATGCCATTGGAAGTTTATATCACAGTTTCTCTTAAACCCACTCCTCATATATCCCTGAGGTTATGTAAAGCGGAGGCTTATACGTGTCTTTCAAGCAACGCGGTGTGGCCTTGGCTCGCAGATTCATTTTAAATAAAGCTGCTGAGTAAACATCCGTACTGAGCACCTGCTATGTGCAAGGGTCACCCCTGCTTTTGTAGATTATTAATTTGTTAACCAGACTCCTTGTCCAGATGAAAGTCATTAATGGGATGGACGAGGCCTCCTTAGGTAGATGAGTTTGTCAGGATCCTGGCCCCTGTCTTTCACCCACTGCATTGTGGTTTTGGTGGGCCCGGGCATTTCCAGATGGGTCCAGGCTGCAGTAAATGGCAGGAAATACTGAGGACACGAAGAGTTTGCAGAGGACATGAGACCACGGATGAAGGAAGCACAGTGGGGCTATTCCTGCAATGTGATTCTTTCTCTAGACCCTCCAGGTTCTTCAGGCTTCACATAAAACTGATTTACTTAAGAAAGAGCCATTCATTGTAAAACATTAAAATAATTCCTCCCCTCCAGCATCCTGCTCATTAAAGAAATTCGTGAGCTTGACATTTTAAAGGAAGGCCTAGTCACACAAGCACGTCTTGTGTGTGTGTGATGTGAGCCCTCAGCCGGCGTGGGGTTGGGCAGAAGGTAGGGACGGGTGGCTCATCACTGCCGCACAGGGAACCTCGACAATTTGGCTTAGTGGCCCTTTCTGCTGAGTCAGGACTTAGTCATTCAGGGAAA